TTGTGTTGTGAATATGCACAGAAGCGTATGGCTGAGTGGCATCATTTACTCCTACAGTGTACCAACAGCAACAGAATCCAGGTAACTGCACAAGCCCAAAAGGGGGACATTAACTAAGAATCACCTCAGGCAGACCCTCAATTACATTAATTGAAGTGCTAATTGAAAAATCACAAGCCAAAACCCTTCAGAGGTGGAAAGCACAGGCTCTGTGATGAAAGGATTCTACATTTTCATTTTGATTTGACAGAATTGTTCAGATAAAACAGAATATTTCTTTTGGCATTTTAATTGAAACATTCTTATTTTTATCCAAAATGTCCATCCCGTACTTAAATAGTGCCTCAGATGAGCATTGGGAAACCACTGCCTGAACACCAGGGACAGGAGCGTGTGAGCTTGCCCATGGTCCTCAGGCCCAGGGAGACTTCACTTAATTGAACTCCAGTGAACTATGACCAGCTGCTATCTATAGCTACCCACTGACAGTAGGTTGGCTTTTCTTTTTGCCTGTAAATTACTGAGCACAGGTGGGGAATTTATTAGCATAAGTGAAAGTTAGGAAGCAGTGCTCCATCCCTCTCCCCACTGATGCTGCCCTGCTGCAAGGTGTTGACCTTCTCTGAAGTAGGAGCCTGTGCAGCTCTCGACCCAGGTGAAACCACTTAGACCTGTGCCTAATTTTGCATCCCACCAGGTCTACCCTTGTGCTAAAAGTTAAACATATGGGTCATTGTTTTGCTGGATCAGAGCCCAGCTCCTGACGGTCCTTGAAGATTTGCCTAGACAGAGCTTGTCAAATGATACAGTGTAGCTAATATGACAGTGTTGTGCTCTCTTTTCTATTAGTGACTACTTGTGGTGGGTAGGCTGTGCTGGTCAGAAGCATGCATCCAGTCATCAACAGCATCTCACAAACAATCAGGTACTCACACTTTAGCGGTTTTTAGTTAATGAAGTCTCTTTTAGGGGGCCTTTTTGTAGCTGATCAAGATTTTACCTTCTCAGACACCCAGTGGCCACTCACAGTAACCTAAATTAGGACCAAAACTCTGAAGCTTGACAGAAACTCTGCTTCAGCACTCATGCCACCGAGGAGGTTGGATATAGCACCCTGCACCACCTGCATGATGGTCAGCCTGCCCCTGCTGCCCCAGTTATCCTTAGCTGCACAGGTGAGATCAGAAGTCAAGATTTGTATTTAGGTTGAGCTGTATTCCCTGAGATAAAGACTGAGTTTGCAGAGCAGCCTGTGGACAGCCACACCGCATCTGCCACCTTTCCTCACGAAGGCCACAAACATATTTTCACATTTTTTTTCCAAGATCCTCACCATTTCACCCATTTCAGATGCCATCGCACAGCCTGTTCAGAACTTACCCGGGCAGAGGGAGCTGACACAGAAACACCACCACAAATACACATTTTATTTTATTGATTTCTTTATTATTATTTTTTTCTTAGGAAATCTCAGCTGAACAAAGGGACGGGACCAATCCCCCTCCCGGAGCTGGCCGCGGGATCCCCCTGCCGGGCTCGGAGGGCACCGCGGCTCCCCCCAGCACCGCCAGGTGGTGCCGCTGCTCCGCGCTGCTCCGGACTTATTATTAAATTATTTTTTATTATTAATGATTATTTTTTAATAAATATTTTTATTTTTTTATTATTTTTTAAATTCAAATCTTGGGGCTTACGTGCAACTTGCATAACCCCGAGGGACCTTTGACTCCGAGAATTCCGATTTTTGAACAGGTAGGTTAGGTGGGTTCACAGGCACCATAAACCCCTTCTCCCAAGGCTGAACATGAACCCTTACCTCTGCCCACCACAAGCTATTGTGCACTGATGGAAACAAGTACGAGTGAGCAAGCAGCGGGGCCTGTAGCTCTCCTCAAGCACTGGCAGGCAGGGATGGTGCTATTGCCCCCCAGGATGCTGCTGTGGGGCTGAGCAGGGTGCTCTGGGTTTGCAGGGCCCTTGGGGGACCAGGAGCTGGCTATTAGGATGACAGCTGGGTGAGGGGCAGGAAAAGATGCTTCTCTGTGTGCATGGTGGCAGCTGCAGTCCCGCAGCCATCCTCCCCTCTCCTCTCAATATCCTTTTCCCCTGAGCTGGAAAGACTAAGGGGTAATTTAGTCTTTATGCGAGTTTGGACTTTGCCTGATTACCAGCTGAGCCTGATTGCACGGCCCTGCGATCCCTCTGGGAAACAGCCCAGACAGCACGGAGGGGCTGCGGCTCCTCCTGATGCTGCTGCTGCCACCGAGCCCTCCTGTTTCATTGTGGGCTGCGAGACGGGCTGCTCCATCTCCCCACCAGCCCCCTCGTGCACCCACCAACTGACACCAAAGGACCAAGGTTTTCTTGAGGACCCTAAATCACATCGCACACAAGGCTTGAATGCAAATGCATGGAGTGTGCCACCAGTCTATGCCATTGCTAAGCTGTCTGCCCTGGTTTCCCATGAAACTGCAGACAAAATCATGAGGTTGGGTAGAAACTGGTTCAAGCAGCAGAGCTGAAGGTCCATTCAAGGACCATCTCAGCATCAGCTGCCTCAGTGACAGCAGAGCAAGTGGCATGCTGGGCAGAGGTGATGCCCTGGGACCTGTCGGCAGTTAGCAGCTCAAGTCCAGCAGCCAGCCCATCCTCTGCCATCAGCAGGGGGTTGCCACTCGGAAGCACCTGGATCAGACAGGTGCAAGATTCAGATCTCCATCCATATCACCTGTTCTCCAGAGATCAGGTGAAGGGAACTTTTGGCTTTTGGGCTTGTGTAATTTTCACAGGTAATTAAAATATGGTGTGTTACTTGCTTTTTCCAGCTCATGATTAAAGTTTAAACGTCACAGGTGAATTAGAAAGGTTGTGGTCCCACATTCATTTGGAGGGGAATTATGCAGGGAGATGGAGGGAAATAATGCAGAACTAGAGCCAGGCGTGCTCTAAAAGCATCCCTGCCCAGCTGAGATGCTTCTGTAACAGCCTCTGTTGCACAAAGGAGTTATCACAACTTCTGAAGCTAATGAAAACACTTGACCCTTGACTTGAACTGAGACCCCTGGCTATTGATCCCAGAAAAACTTGGGAGAGTGCTAGGAGAGGGGGCAGTCGTGCTCTGCCGGCAGCAGCTCTGCCTTCCTGACTGGCTCCACCTGTTTTTAGGGGCTGTCAGATTGAGCTCTGCCTCCAGCCTCTCCACATCGTCTGTGGGTGAGCAGAGATGTATGGGACTTCAGATCCATTGCCTTTGGAGCTCCTTTTGCAATAAGTGGAGTCTCCCTCCTTGGAGATCTTCAGAAACCACCTGGACGTGTCCCTGGGCAACCTGCTCTGGGCATCCCTGCTCGAGCAGGGTGTTGGATGGCCTCCAGAAGTGCCCTCCCACCTCAGCCATGCTGTGATTCTGTGATACGGTGATGGCACTATGTGTAGTGAGGGCGTTGTGCTTGGATTCCCCCGTAACTTTTTCAGCCTGGTATACCATGTGCATTAACACTGATGGGAGTGTACAATCCCTGGCCCTGTGGCACTCGTGTTCCCCAAAATATTTGTCCAATTTCCATTCCAAGCACCTAAAATGGCACAAGCAGTGAGGTTTGGCAGGGTACATCCAGCTGCTGGCACCCAAGCAAGTGTCAAGCAGTGGAGCTCAAGCGGAGGTGGTCTGGTGGCAGCAGGACACAGCCTGGCACAGACCCAACCCTCCTGTAGCACCGCAAGCTCAGGTAGCACGGTGCTATCCTGTACTGAGGCACAGATGGTCTGGAAGAGACTCTTGTACGTGACGGAGCAAAGCATTATATGCAATTTTGTGACAACTTTATTAGACCAAAGCGCTGTTTATTCAGCATGCTGTTTCCAAGCAGTGGCTAGCAGCAGCTGCCTGAGGAAAAAGTATGGGCACCAGGAGTCGGATCACTTTGCACTTGTCAAGCTCATCTTATAGCTTTGGCACATCTCAGAAATACCCACAATGAGGAGTTTGATCAGCCCTCCGAGGACACAGCATACCCAGAGCAGGATGGCTCACAGGCCAAGCTGTTTGCTGTCCTTGCAGCTGCATGTGAGCTGCTTTCGACTGTACACCCGCATATCCCCACACATGGGTAATTTAAAGCAGGAACATCTCCAAGTTGTTGAAATGCTCCGTTTCAATACTTCGTTGTCAAGCAGCTTAGGCTTTTGTTTTTGAGGTGAAACAAAACATTTTCATTGAGCTGAAACTCAATTTCTTTTGCAAAGTGTTTTCATTATATGTGAAAATTCAAATTCCAGGCTGCTTTGGAGAGAAGGGAAAAGTAGAATAGTCTCTGCCAAAAATACGGAGACAAGCTAAGGAAGCTCAATACTCCTGGACTTCAGCTAACCCTTAGTCACCTTCTGCCTGTTAAGTTTTGATTTTATGGACTGCTAGGGTTTTTAAACTTCCTTCCCTTGCAAACTGGTTGCAAAGGTCTGGCTGAAAGTATTGCTGTTCCTTGCTGGAACGAGCAAAAGCTGATGAGCCATATCATTTTTGCCTAGCCCAAACTTCAAGTTTCTTGCTTTGGAAAGCCTGGGGGCCTGTGTTTGTTGGTTGGCCAACCAGTGTTTTTAAGAGTAAGGTCTATTTTCTCTTCCTGGTGCCATGCTGATGGGCAAAGCTCGAGGCTCAGCCAGCTCAACCCTTGGCTAGCCAGGTGGACCTGCCTCTGGCAGCCATCCCATGGGCTTCTGCACCACGCTTGGGTTCCTGCAGGGCTCGTTAGCTCCGTGCATGGCCCCCTGGTGCTGAACATAACACACAAGTGTTTCCCTGTGGACCTGAGGGAAGAGCTTGTGATGTCTCCAGCTCGCAGCAGCGTCTGGAGGAGAGCCACCCTCCAGCTTCGCCCTCCTTTCTGCCTGACAGCTAAATAAAGACATGATGTTCGTTAGGGTATGGTGAGGCTCCTAGGGAAATATGATCAAACACAAAGATCAGACAGGAGCTGTAACTGAGGAGCCTATTTGGGAAATTGGCTCCTGAGGCTCCTCGTTTCAGCTGGTGTCGTTTCAGAGCAGCCAGGTGCCCGTCGTCCTTGTGATCTGGGGGCTCATTGCGAGGCAGCTGCAGAGGCTTGGCACGTTTTCCCTTCAGGCCTGACCCCGTTAGCACTCAGAAGGGCAGGAGAGCATAAAGAGAGCCAGAAGCTGACCTGGAGAGGAAGAAGGAAGGCAGTGAGATGTGACTTGGAGGTGTCCAAAAACCCTTTCATGGATGTGGTGAGGGTTGCCTACCTAGAGAACAAAGCAGGAGGAGTACCTGGAGGAGTTTCATGTGCTCAGGTGGGGATTTGAAGCTACTGGTGACTGAGCATTGCCTGTGGGCTGTAGGGTGACAGCTGGATGACTTGCCATGTGCCAGTGGTAGCCATCTGTGTGTGTGCTCTGGCCTCATGATGGTTGTGTGATGTGTGATTAGGTGCTGGAGAACCCACCTCGCCTCTCCATCTTTGCAGGCCAGGCAAGAGCAAGTGGCTTTGGGATTGTCATGGGGTTGGTGCATGGTCATGTTCACTTTGGAGCTGCCCAAGTCTTCTCCAAAGTGAGGAGTTGAGCCTTGCTGGAAAGGAGATGTTTCCCCACGCGCAGGCCAGACCAGGGCTGCTCATGAGATCCTCAAGGCCTAAAACCATGCACAACTCAATAGAGAGTCAGGTATTGTTTAAATGGCACTCCAAAAGCTCTGTCTAAGTAAATATGGAAAAAAATGCAAGGGCCATGATGGAAACAGAAGTACTTTGCGCTCAAGATTTACAGCCTTACCTGGCCGCAGATTATTTGAGGAGACATTCTCAAAGAACAGTTTTGTCCATTGAGGCCAACCACAGGTTTTTGAGCATCTTTTCCAAAAGAAGCTGCCTTGGCCCTTGCCTGGAGTCTGGGCTAGAGAAACCTCACCCCTGATCTAGCAGTTTCAGACTGAAACTTCTTCACAGAGCTCACGTTAGACAAGGCCACAGCAAACACTCCCAGCTCAGGTTTTAGGCTGATTTGATGGCAGACTCTCTTTTAAAACAGCCTCAACACCACATGAGCTGAAGGTTATTTTTTAAATTGTGCAGCTGAATGAAAAGGAAATGACCTGCGAGGGCTTTTGAAAATTATTATTTTTTAATTAGTTGGTGAGGAGTCATCCTTGGTAAGTGCCTTGTAGCTGGCTCAATGTGGGTCTTCTGCCTGCCTTTGTGTGCGGGTACATATGGTCTCGGTGGATGTGCATAGAGTGGAAGCAGTCCTGTTCCGTAGGTCCCCTGTGCTCAGGTTTGTGTTTGTGTACTGGGAGAGTTAATGAGAACAGACTGCCTTTCTTTCCCTTCGTTCCCCAATCCCATCTGTTCAAACAAAAGGCTGAAAGGGAGAGAGAGCCGAGACCCTGCTGGTCAAGAGGGGATGGATAATAACACATATCCTTGGGCTACATTTCAGCACATGCAACCCTTTCAAGCTGTGCTAAAGCTTTTATTCAGGCAAGAGAAAGAACAACCAATATAAAATAAGTTTCTTCTTTTCTTTTTTTTTTCTATATAAAAAAAAAAAGAAAAAAGCTATATCAGGCCTGAAGGATGCTACATTCCGTTCTATTCCTCTAACATTTTATAAAGCTGGATTATCAAAAAAAGAGTCTAAACCAGTGCTGATTATATTTGTGTGCGTACAGACAGAGCACGGTATTGGGATAGAGCAAGAGACATATGCAGAGGGGCCAGGGATGGCTTAGAAAGTCAATTTTCACTGTGTTTGCACATGGTAACAGTTCCAGATTCGTGTAATTAACTATACATCAAAAGGGTGTGAAGGAGGATATATTCCTCTCCACCCTGGGGAATCGATGGGTACTTTGCAATTCATGGTTAACCCCCCATCCACGTATTTGTCATTATGGGCATGCCAAACAACTCATCTGAAGATCAAAATAGCTTTCTTGGGGACTGTTACAGCGGGAGCAGCACGAGAGATGGCACCTCAAGTCCCACTGTGGGCACCAAGCGTCAGAGAGGGATGCAGCCCTGGATGGCAGCGCTGGTGCTCAGCCCTCTGCCAGCCGTTCCAGGGACGTCGTAATGGTTTACGGGAGAAAAATGGTCTCAAATGCCATTAGTTTAATGCTTCATAATGTCGTTGTGTCTGTTTTAAATGCAATCACAGAGCTCAGGGGACACCCAGGACTGAAATAAAAAGGAGGAGAAGAGCTTGCAGAAATGTAATGATGGAAAAGGAGGCAGGGGAATCTTTGGAGAGAAAAGAAATGAGATTCACCAATTCTTTTCCATTGATCAGGGAGCACACGAGTAGCCATTGTCGGACAGTATTCACCACAGGAGCTGATTGCACTCCGCTTACAATAAACACAGTAAAGTCATAGAATCAGTCTTTGGGAGGAGGTGGGAGAGGAATTTGCAAAACATGGGGCCTGGTCATGGCCAGTAATTTCAAGATAGTTTTCTAATGCTCTGCTAGCAGCTCTGCACCATTTCAGAAGTGGTGCACAGCCAATCCTACAAAATTTGTTTGTCAACCCCTAGCAGTCAGGGGGTTTACTGACCTGTATGTAGTTACCTAATTCTCACCCTCTGAAACAGAGGGAGCCAGAAACAATAAAGAGGGTCAAAACCAGCAAACAAGCTGAGTCTGACCTGCTCATGCCAATTGAAAATGCAAATAAACACGTATATGAAGTGATAAGTATAAGCAGTAGTTATGCAAGCTTTGGAAATCTTTCTAAGCATTTCACATCTCATTTCAATCACACAGGTGGAGCTGTTTCCTTCTGGATAAAATTCTTCTGTGACTGGCATCTTGCACTCCAAGCTAAGCAGGTACATGCTCCAGACAGACAGTTGTTGTTTCCCTTCCAGCAGTTGTAATTTATTCTTATCCAGAGTGGGACTAAAGAAGGTGTAGCCTTCTTTAGCATGGCCCCATAGCATAAGCCAGCACTGTTCCTTTGTGTCCTTTTCTTCTTGAATCCTAAAAACTGGGAGCAACCTGGTCCTGTTCATCAATGCTGGGGGCTAATCTGGCGTAGAAAATTTGCATGATCAACACATCTCTTCTTCTCACAGGGAATCCACCTAATACATAGAGGGAACACTATGTCTGATCTCTTGTCTCTCACTCAAAAGGGGACCCCTTGAGCCTGGCCTAACCCTGCACTATTGATATATGAGCAGGACATGTCTCTGCTGGATTCATCCATCAAGCAACCACAAGAGGTGATTTCTAGGGATTAATGTTCTGGTGGCTGTGTGCAGAGGTTGCAAGGAGGAGGGATCGTGGCAGTAGCTGGTTTATTGAAAAGACAGAAAAATGAATGTGACAGAAATAGGGCCCTTAGCAATGCAGATAGCTATAGATCAATGGGTGGGTTGCTTTCAGTGCCTCTGTTTGCTTTCTGCAACACCTATCTGTAGAAAACAAGGAAACACAGTTTTTGACAAGGCTCTGACAAGGCTGGTTGTGTTATAAGGATTTGTTCCCAGTCTCTCACAACCAAGCCAAATGTAACCCTTGAGGTTGAGACTCGCTGTGGTGGATGTCTCTGGTGGTTTGGAGTGGGGGAGCTGAATTTAATCTGAAGCAGCTCGGAAAGGGTTTCTCAGAATGAGGCTAGAGAAAAGGAAACAGATGTATCTGTGGTTTAAAATTGACTTGCAGTGCCTTTCTTTGAGACGATCTAAAGCTTCTGTGGAGCAGTGACTAGAAATTTGACTGGAAAGGGCCCCTACTGCAGAGAATATTTCTGTCGTCTTCTGAAACACTGCCCCAATCTAGCCAGACTGTAAGCCCCCAAAGAAAACCAGAGTAAATCTTATTTTCACACACCCAACAGCATTTTCTCAGAGTTTACCAGCCAAATTGTCTGCCTATCCTTGGCATGCATGACCACTGTGTATGACCCATCACAACTGAGCAAAGAAGTGTGCAGTCCTGAGCTTCGTTTTCCTTGCAATTTGCTTAGTGGTGTGGGGCTACATGTGGTGCTGGCACCATAGGAGAAACCACAGAACATGGATCATGTGAATACATCTGAGAGGCATACAGGCAAGTTTATTTTGCATTTCACTACTGGCCAAAAGCATTTAGATGGACTTAGAGCTTCGGGCTTAGAGCTTTCCTTGCTGAGCAATGAGAAAACTCAGTGAAGTAGAGAGATTTGTTATCACAGGTGAAATAAATCCAACTCTTTGTTTAGCTCCTGACATGAAAAATAAAGTGAATATTTCTCACTGATGACCATCAGATTATTTTTTTATTATTATTATTTTTTTTGAGGGATTGTTATGTGATCCCCAAATATATTACTTAAACCTGATGTATCAGCAGGCTTCCAGCACAAGGCTTTAGGAAAGCAGAACATACATTGGCATGTGTTCAATACCCTTTCTGGGAAACATCTCTTCCTTTGGCTGTCACTCAAACAGTGTTTTGCATCTTACCCACTTTCCAGGAAAATAGTAGCGAGTCTGGTGGTATAAGGATACCTAGGTCTGCAGAGGTAACATTTTGATATGGGGAAGAACAGGTGAGCACTGTGACAGGTGGCTTGGAGCAACTTTGGAATAAACTGGAGTTTCTAGCTGAAGGCTGAACAAGAAAACTGTATATTTCTCATGACAGAAATGAAATGCCTGAAAGAGGTTAGCGTAGCCAGGTAGACATGAAAAAAACATGTTCAAAGGGATACATCAAAGGTATGCAGGAACTGGAAAAATCAAAGAGAAGAGCCAAAGGTGTTTCATGCTGGCATCAGAAGACCACTGCTTTCAATGACGCTGATGAAGCTTTTCTAATATCTAGAGATAAGTAACAGAAATAGTAGTATTGGCAGGAATGAAATAGTAAGATTACTGTGAGTGAAATATGAACAGAAATGCAGATCTGTATGAAAGCACAAGGAGCAAAACCAGAGTAAGTTTTGAAAGGCTGTCCTGGGCTGAGCACCAAGGCTATGACTGAAAGCAGTCAAGCTGGTAAACACTGAGGAAAAAGCTGTTTAATCAGGCCTGGACTTCAACAGGGCCCCAGCACAACTCTGTGCTCTGACAAAAAGTCCCTCCCCAGCTTTGTTGTAGGCCCCCTTTAGGTGCTGGAAGGGCACTGTAAGGTCTCCCCAGAGCTTTCTCTTCTCCAGGCTGAACAACCCCAACTCCCCCAGCCTGTCTTCATAAGAGAGGTGCTCCAGCCTGAGGGTGCACTCGACCCCACTGTCCATGTCACCAACAAAGATATTAAAAAGCGCCAGTCCCAGTACTGACTTCTGAGGAACACCACTCATTACAGATCTCTGCTTGGGCCCTGAGCCATTGACCACAACTCTTTGACTGCAACCATCCAGTCAATTCCTCACCCACTGAGGGGTCCATTCATCAAATCTATGTCTTTCCAATCAGAGGCAAGGGTGCTGCGTAGGAAAATGTCAGCTATTTTGCACGGGACTCGGTTGATGATGTCATTTGCCCTGCTTATCAGCCACGCTTTTATGCTCTCTTATAAGTGACTTTAAGACACAACAGACTAGGTGTTTTTGGACCCTCTAATCCTGATCAGATATTTCTACTATTCTATGGATATTTATTCCATGCCATAAGGTCGTCGATATCTCTTCTCCTGTTATACATGTATGGTGAACCACATCTGTAACTGGCTTTTGTGGCAAGCAGGCAAGAAGAGCTGTGGTGCAGCACATATGCTGTATACTCACATCATGCTGTACCACCCAGTCCAGGAGTGGATATTGGTGACTTCCATCAGGATCCTCACTTCTGAGTACTTGATGAAAGGTCCAACCCTTAAATCTCACTCAATAATTAGTGAGAATTTCTGCTCTTGTAGCACAATGTCCAGGAATAAAGCAGAGCTAACCCACAGCTCTGGATCAAAACAGCCTAGGATGCTAAACTGCTTGAAAGCTGACTCCTAGTTTGGTGGATAGATCTAATGATGTTTCAACAAGTTGACTGACTACAGATGGGCAAACATTGTCCTGCTTAGCTCCGTATCTCTGCTTCAGATATTACTGCCACTCTTGGAGAAACTCAAGGAGCCACCATGCACAAAAAGAAGGAGTCAATCTGGTATAGACACTTCTGTGAGTGTGACGGTGGTATAACTTCCACTTGACAAAAATTCCCCTGCTGAAGATGCTATTGTTTTGAATGCAATTATCTTTTACAAGGTTCATCCAATCCACCTAATCATCCTTATCTTAATGTGCTTTTCCTTCCTACATTGTCACGTAAAATCCATTTCCTTTCAATTTACTTCAGATCTATCTGCATCTAGATTACTGCAACTTGGATGCAAGGTAATTAAATGTGGTTTGTCTGAGTAGAAAGGCAATGAATCCTATTACAGCTTGTTTATGCTACCAAGTAATGCAGGTTTCTCCGTGCCATCCCACCAGTGTCTTAACCCTACCATAGAAAGACTGTGTTTTAGGCCACCTGCAAGCTTCTCTGTGCATTTTGTCCTTGGGCTGTCTTCTGAGATCCCTGATTAATACAACTTGTTTTTTAGGTCTGTGGACTTAAAAATACCTATCCTACTAGGATCTGCCTCAATAGCTCATACCATGCTGACTCTCACCCACACTTCTATTTCTGACAGAAATATTTAAGACTGCTAACTCTGTCTTCATGGTTAACAAGGCTACAAGGCAGGGTTTTTGTTGTTTGTTTATTTTAGTTATTGTTTTTACCCTTTGGTTAAGATGCAGTCTGGTGCTAGAATTCCTCTGTGGCTGATGGGACTTGACCCTGGCCTTGGCCTCTCATAATACTATGTGCTCTGGGAGCTTGTAAATTTATACTCTGAATCCTATTTCGTGTAGTACTTTCACCTTTTGGATGCTACTGAGAAGGAAGCTGTTTGGTAGCAAAAATCCTGGATGTCTTAATGATACAGAGGAGGTTTTATGATTCTCTGTAGGTCAAGCATGCACTGTAAACCCACCATTGAGAGATACTTTAACACTGATTCAAGAAAAGGTCAAGTGAGGTAAATCCACCTCTACAGAGTAAGGTTCAAATCTTGGATACTGTTACAGGGTGAATGGAGTAAGGAAGTCTTGCACTGACTTATCTTGTACATTGTCTGAAGCTTCCTCATGGGTCAAGAAACCTGGTGGTTCCTTCTGAATAAATGTTTTGGTATTGATGAGTTGTGTGTAGGAGCCCTGGGCTGGGAGAAACAAGGGGTATGCGTGTGGTTCTCTACAGTTCTTTTAAGATACTTTCTTTGAAATCCATGCTTGCTCTGCTGTAAGGCTAAATGGTATAGTATAGACTTTGAGGTGGTCAATAGATTCACTTTGGTTGAGATCTCTTGAGCTTGTGTTTGCTTGGGGCAATACAAGCAAGGTGAAAATCATGACCCAACTCATAGGATCTACCTGTACAGAAGGTAATCCTGTCCAAGTAAGGACCAAATAAATAAATAAATACAATCCCTTTCCACCATTCTCTTGTTAAATGGGTTACAATGACTTCCTGTTGTAAAGTCACTGCTGACTCAGTCCTTTTTACTCAGCCATTTGTTGTACAAAAGCTTTTCTGTACACTGGCTTATCCATACTGCCTTTCTCAGATGCTTTTGTAGTTTTTTTGTATCGTTACTGAAAGGGTGGAGAACCAGAGCTACAGACAGTATTCAAGATATGGATTTACTATGACTTTACACTATGACCTAATGATGTTCTCTCTTGCTCTCTACCAGTTCTGTTCTCTCTACAATGATAACAATACCTAACATTTGATTTTCTTTTTCCATGCCACCAAGAACCAAGCTGATGTTATCATGAAACAATATATCATAACTACAAGATCTTCTTTCTGTGGTTGGCTCAGGACCTATCAGCTGCATGTGGAGTTAGAAATGTTCTTCCCTGTATGCACCACTTTATCACTCCATTTAGACTGAATTTCATGTGCTATTTTATCAGTCTTGCACAGTCCTTCTGCAATTTTTCATAGTAAGTAAGTCCTTGCCTTTATTATCTGGAATAACAAAATTCCAATACTTGCATGTGGCTATATTATAGGGAGATAGAGCTCTACCTATAGAGGACACTTCTGGAAAAGTCTTGAAGCCTGTCTTAGATCCTAGAATTGCTTGAATGGGTAGAAAAACCTTGGTATGGTGAATACTGAGTCTGAAAGCCTGCGATGTGGGAAAGGGTTGTCTTTGAATGTTGTATCTGCACACAGGCAGATTCTGTTTTCTGCTCTGCTTTTCTTTTCCTTTTCTTTCTTTCTCTGTGTTTATCTTGTCTGTGAGCTCGTGCTGGGCTCTAGCCCTGGGGTTTGCAAATCTTTCTGCCACTTCTGCACACAGAACGGTTTTGAGGAAGGAGAAAGGCAGAGGGCTTCTCTGAAGGATGGATGTTGTATGACAAACCTCTTGTCTTTTGGTCCTTGTGAAAATGTTTCTGTGCCAGTCTATCCCTCTAGCCATGATTAAAGTTGTGGAGATCTCTTCTTTGTAATCTTGACTGTCTATTTAATGACTCCTTCCAATTCTCTCCTTGCCTGGTGTCTGGCTTTTCCTGGATTGAACTTGCTTCTAGCCCCTGAGCAAGCTGCTGTCTCTCAGGCTTGCTGGAGCAGCATCTTCCCTTCTTCCATGCTAGCAGCTCTGTCCAGCTGCTCACATCTTTCTCCTTCCTCACTGCTCCACCTGCATATGCCCCAAGTTCACACAGCCCTCCTCATTTGTACTCTCCATCACCCTCATGCAAAATCCCTTGCCTTATGCCCAGTTTCTGATTGATGCAGCTCCTCCATCTAGGTAACCTGCACTGCTTCTGCTTTTCTTTTATCCTGCACTGCTTTTGCTTTGATTTAAGCATTTGTATTGTCACTTTCTTTCATCCCTTCCTTTAGGAAGGAGTTGTGCCCAAAGCAGCTTTCTCTGCTTCCCTTTCTCAGTGAGGAACTCCAGAACAACTGTCTCCTCTTGCTTTCTGAGTGACTCTGTGTCCTGCCACGCTGAGAGCTATTATTGCACACACAAATGTGCATGGCTGGAAGAGAGCTTGGGAGGAAAAAGCACCAAAACCAGATGCATGTGTGTGTGTCTAGGATTTATTTTTTTTTTTAATATAAATTTTTAAGACTGCCTAAAGCAGCAGGGTGGGTGTGAGAAGAGTGTAACTTCTGTAGCATCACCTGCTTCCTCGGGCTGATTGGGTGGAAGCCTCCACACAGGCTGGAGCGGAGGCGAGACCAGCGCTGTCACCCTGCCCATGAGCTACAGCACCAAACAGCAGTAGCAGGGACGGCTACAGCAGCAGCAGGCACGGGCTGATGGCGGTGGAGGAGCAGAACATCCCTGCAGCAGCGAAACTTGTGCACCCCACAGCACAGTGAAGGACGGAAGAGAAGAACGGAGCTGCTTCCAAGCTGGTGGAGAGCAGTGGCAGGCAGAGGAGCCTGCTCTGGGGGGAGAGAGGGATCAAAGCACACAGCAGTGAGCTGACAAAAATCTGCGTTCGGCAGCCCAACTTTGTGCCTGCACTTGTGTGCCTGCAAGTGGACTGGGTCTGAGCTCTGTTACATTCTGAGCCTGAGTTATTCCAGCCCAGTGACTCAATTTATTTCTGTCTCGGCTCCTGACATTTCTCTTTCAGGTGGCTGCCGCCTGGTTTTGGGTGGGGCCGTGGGCTGGGGTGACTCATGTTTCCAAGCTCTTATCGGCATCAGTATGATGTTCTGCTTTTCTTTTCTGTCATATGGCATCCCGCTCCCCTCCTCTCCCTCCCCTCCCTCCGACGTCTCCCAGAGGAGGCGACAGACGGTCCTGTAATTTGGTTCCATTCGCTCGACTGGAGCAACACCTGCCCCCCTCTCTGGGGACGGGAGGGTCTCATCCCAAACCGTGCAAGGAGCCAAAGACAAATCTGAAGCCCACATGCAAATAGAGCCCAGGATAAAACAACACGGCCATTCTGGGCAGGAAAGGCAAAATCCGTCACCAGGGGAAGAGGCAGGAAAAACAGAATCGCCGCTGAAGAAATAAATAAGAAGTGCCAGGAGATTGTCTTTTCCTTTTGGGTCGGCTGCTATTGTGGTTATTGATCTGTCCCACCCTGGAGAATAAACCGAGAGTACTGAAAAATAATGGCTGATATTAGAACATATTTATTCGCCCTAAAAGGACCTGGGTTAATTGGGTTACAGGATGGCTAGATACATGAATAGATAGATAGAATGTCTCTGGTATTTCTTCATGGCTATATAATGGAAGAGATCCATTTCTTTGTTGAATTTCACATACAACATCCTCTCCAGCTCACCCTCCCCATCTCTCTCCCTCTCCCACTCACATGTACAACCTTTTTTTTTTTTTTTTTGTTAGAAATACAGCAAAGATATCAAATCACATCCAAGATGCTCATAATTTCTCTGCTGTAAATATCAGTGGTAATATTCTACCTGTTTCACCCACCTTTTGACTTGAGCAATAAGGCACTACTCAGTAGTTCAAGGGAAATTAGTACATTTATTTATAGAAGTTACTTTTGGCTTGCAGTTGCTGTAGCAGGGTCTGGATCTGTTTCTAAGGTTCAGCTGAATGCATTAGATGCTCTGTTTCCTAATCATACAACAAAAATGCATACTATGCCTCATGTCTATGTATGTCCATATAGGTCTACAAATGTCTTAAAACATCAGTATCACTTTATGTTAAAGGTATGCTGGATGTCCACAGTACTGGGATATTATAGATCTATACATTGGAAGCACTTCCTGCTTGTGAGTGCTGGAGGCTTCCAATCCATGTTTTATTTATCACGTTGAATCAAGCTTAAATCACCTCTTTTAGCCTCAGCTGAAGGTCCAGGGGTATCACTGTGCCTTCTTTGTCTTTGTGTATGCTTCCTTTCGTGATTTACAGGATGAGCTTCTTTTTAAATGTGAAATAATGGTATCTGAATGTCGCTTTAATGTTAGCTTTACTCACTACAAACCCAGAAAATATTAACTCCATATTTCTTCCCTGCCAGCTGGACAGGCTGAACATGATATAACCTTTCTTTGAGCAGTTCCACCCTGTTCCTCCTGTAATATTGTGCAAGATCACTTATTTCTATATTGCTGAGGGAACATAGACGTAGGCAAAGTAACTTTGATTACATAATTAGACTTTATCACTACCTAATGCAGACTCGCAATGAGATGGAGTTAAAGTTGTTTACTCCTTCTCCATAAATCCAGACTTTTGAGCACTTAGTCATGCAGCCTTTTTATTGTGTTAGCCTTGCAGCTTGGCCATACGACTCATCTCTTTCTCAAGAATTAAGGGGAAAAAAAAATAACAGTGGGATGGGGGAGCAAAACCTACATTTTGTTATCAGCAGTCGTCAGATACTAGATGACAATGAGTTTCCTTGATGCCAGCAGGAAAACACAAAAGTGGTCGAGCTGATGTCATGGTGGTTAGAGGACATAAGCAAGGTGGTGAGTGGATGGAAGTGAGATTGGATTTGCAGGGAGAAGCAATTTTGTCTATCAGATAAATGGTTGCATTCAGAAGAAAGGGAAACATCTGCAGGTCAAACACCCCCGATTCTCCTGCAGGTTAAACTTGATGCTTGATCCTGCTGCTACCACCAAAACCAAAGCCCTTCCTGCCCTCCTCTGAGTGCAAGCACGGTCTCCGTTGTCCTGGGGGAAGGTAGGAATGGCATGGCCTGGAGAAGATCCTTGTTTACAAACCTGAGCAGTCCCCAGACTTCTTTGTGCTAGACTCTCCCAGTGCTTGCATGGCAGGAGGATTGCCAAACAGGAGCCTATCCCTGCAGCCTACACTGCACAGAGGCCACGGGCAGCACGGTGGGGATGTTTCTGAGCATGTGAATTGGTGGAGAATCAGCTCTGATATAGGAGGGCCTCATCACTTGAGCAGGGAGTCCATGCACATGGTCTTGAGACCCAGGACACATCTGGGCTGATAACCACTGCCGGGTCTGCAACAAACTTCGCTGTCCAGTCTGAGTTTGAGTATCCCTCTGCCTGTGATGTGATGTGTTTGCAAACCCCAGAAGAGGGAGTGAGGCCAAGGGGGCAGGGGACACTGGTTTCTCATCTCCTTATCCAGCAGCCCATCTGTCTGAAAAACCATTGGTGGCTGCAGTCACCGTGCTCTCCCCTAAATCATGCATTTGCACATTTGAGAAGGAAAAATATGCTAATCTTTTTATTAACTAAGTCTTACTGAATTTTGGTAGCCGGTTACTGAATTTTGGTTTGCTGGATGGCAGGATTTATAATATCACTTGGACAATTATCATCAAACTTGACCCAGCGTCCAGACTTTGGCAGAACCTAATAAACAACCCTGTCCTGAAGTAAACCAGCTCCAAAGTTGGTGGAGCTTTTTCACTGAAAATTGCTGGATTTTATAACTGTGCATTGAACTACCAAGTCTGTGTGCACTCCCTTGGGACTTGGGAAGTGTGCATTGGTAGAAAGTGGAATTAACAGCCTCTCTGACAGGTTTTCTGCATAGAGCTTTTCAGCTGGGCAAGACCACACTTAATTAAACCACTGTGCAAAGTGTCAGCCATAAAAATGGGAGGGGAGGGAGGGCTTTATCTCTAAAGCAAGTAACAATGGACCTGCTTTTTCTGCTGCATGCCTCCTGCCCAAGTCAATGGCAATATTCAAATTATAGGTAAAATTAACCCCTTGTGGTAAAGAAGAAAAGGATTTAATAAATGAGGTGGCACAGAGCTTTTGCTTTACTCAGGTGATAACCTTTCTGTTACTGAATCTGTATCTGTGCCATTTTTCTCATGACAGTCTTTGGCAGTGGAGCCTTGCATAAAGGAGAATGGCTGAGGTTTTTCTAACTGGGCAAAGGGCCCAAGATTTTTGTTTGGTTTCAGTAGAATTGGACCTGACCAGAGCGGGGTCAAAACCGAATTTAAACAAGAGCAAGAAAATCCACTGCACATGGGCAGGATGCAGCACTTACATTTTGGTTGCAAAGTCATACGTACCACAGAGTGATGCAGCAGAGCAGGTGCTTCCCAGACCCAGGTTTGATTTTACAGCCTGAACTTGGAAACATGAGGACAGATGCCAGTCGTCATGGGGAGAAGGTGAAAGCAAGGGTCCTACGTCTCACATGGATTTGTGCAGTGAGCTCAGCTGAGAGCAGCTGGGGCAGGGGAGCTGTGCTGAGGGATGGCAGCCATGCCTGGGCAAGAGGCAGGTAACCTGTTGAAGCTTTTCTATGTACAGCAGGAGCAAGTGTAAAATCCTTATTCACAAGGCAGACTATACACTCTGTCAAATCTCCATCTTATAGAAAGACCAACAGGGAAAAATAATTAGGAAAAAACAGCTTTTATTTGATACTTTTATTTATATGCAAAACAGCTCACCATTCATGAGAGATATGAAAAACGCATCAGATAGAAACCAGATTTATCTATTTTCACTACAAAATATTGCATTATATAAAGCAACAGAGACACACAAAAAAACCCTGAAAAAGACTAAAATCTTTGGATAGCAGATGTGTTTTTTTTTTTTCTTTTTCTTTCTCGTCCCCAAAATGCGCTTCTTGTTTTAAGAGATTCACAGCAAAGAACATGAAACATTTTCAGGTTATAGAATTTTTTGGTTGTCACAAAGGAAAGCAGTCCTGGATTTACTTCTTCTTCATCTTCTTCTTCCTTTTTTTTTTTTTTTTAGGAAAAATGTCCTTTCCTAAAAATATACCGCACACATACACACCCACGCTCAACCCCACACACATACAGGTATGCACACACGCACATATACACCCACAAAAAAACTACTTCCCTTATAAACGATTTGCAAAGTACTTTTCAGACATAACTATAGATCAGAATAACAACAAGTTTTAAAAAAAAAACTCTTCTAGTTAAGTGCTAGTGGTTGTTGATCCCACACACACGCACAAAAAATAATAATAATAAAATAGAAAGAAAGAAGGAAGGAAGGAAAGAAAGAAAGAGAAAAGGAAGGAAGAAAGAAGGGAGGAAGGAAGGGAAGAAAGAAAAGAGTTCAAGAGCAAATGTCTTGATATATATAAAATATACTTGTAAACAGGGAGGAAGGGAAGGTCTGTCATACACAAGTGCAATATAATCGGAAAAGAAAAAAAAAAAGAGGAAAAGAAAAGAAAAAGGAACACTGTATTGATCCCAACAAACACTTATAAAGTTAAACGTAATATTCCACAGGAGAAAGTGTAAACACGCGACTATAGAAAACAATTGGCACAAAGTATCCAAAGTAAAATTGCCACCACTCTGAAAAATAAATAAGTCTTGAAAAAAATAAATTGTCCACTCCTTCTACCATAAATAAAAAATAGTTATTTTTAACTGCACCCATGGGTCACACGTTTAAGGTCACAAGTAGATGTTTTTGGATATATATAAAGGGGCACTTGACAGCCTGAAGAGACAATCTGGTTTCAGCACCTCTCTGCCGAAAAACGCGGCCGTTCCGCGCCGCCGGGGCTCAGCGTCTGGAGCAGAGGTGCGGGGAAAGCTCCCCGAGCCCGGCACCGGCAGCGCCCGGCCCCGCAGCCGGCCGGGTGCGCTCGGGGCCGGGCTCCCGGTGCGCGGCGCGTCCCGATGCGGCCTCCGCGGGGCCGTCGGGGCGGGCGTGCGGGGGCTACACGTCCAGGACGTGGTTGAGATAGGAGATGTAGCAGATGGCCAGGCGCAGGATCTCGATCTTGGAGAGCTTCTTGTCGGGCGGCAGCGTGGGCAGCAGCTTGCGCAGCTCGGCGAAGGCCAGGTTGAAGGCCTCCACGCGGATCCGCTCCCTCGTGGCGTGGGCCGAGCGGTACTTGGCCGTGGCTCGACGACGGCGCCGTTTCTCCTCCCGGCTGAGCGGCGGGGGGTGCAGCCCCGGCCGGCCCCCGGCACGACCCTCCCCGCCGCCCCCGCCGCCGCCGCCGCCCCCGCCGCCCTCGGCCGGCTCCGGGTCGGAGGCGCAGCAGCCCAGCGCCCGGGGGTCCGCGCCCCCCAGGGACTCGGGGTCGGAGGGCGCCGACGAGGGGTGGTCGGAGTCGGCCGCTTGGTCCGGGCTGAGCATCATCGTGGAGGGGGCGGAGGAGCCTTCCCGGGACAGAGAAGCAGAGAGAAGGGGGTCAGCGCCCCCGACCCGCAGCACCGCCCCGTGTCCCGCGTGTGCTCCCGCTACTCCCCCCTGTGTAGAAACAGGCCCGGGAAGCGATGAAAGGGGATGCGGATTTATTTCTAACAAACTAGCGTCCAGAGGCTTAGCATCGGGCTGGTTTGTTTTCCTCCATCGCACGTCCTCCCCTGCCAAGCTCTGCTCCACCGTTTCTCTTTCGGGCTCCGGGCCGCTGGCACGATGCTTTTAAAAGGGGAGACAGGCTCAAGGCTCCCCGAGCACAGCAAGGCCAGTGGGGAAATTTATTTCCCTGGTCAGACCTGCGGGATCTGATGGATCTGCTGGGCTCTCCTCCTGCTCTTTTCTGTGAGCTCCTCTTTTTATTACTATCGCTATTATTATTATTATTTTTTCCTGCTGCTAACTGTGCTCAGATAGCGGTTTGCCAGCGACCAAATGGGGACGTTTGGAGGCTCTCAGGATTTGTTATTTAGGGGTGAGATTCAAAATAGAAACAAAATAATAATAAAAAGGACCAAAAACCCAAGGCAGCGGCCGAACTTTTCCATTCCTTTAAATTTTCCCTCCTCTCCCCTCCCTGCGCGAAAAGGGTGGGGGGAAAGAAAGGGGAAATAAATAAATAAATGCGGACGTGCCTTTCAAAAGAAAATTGAATCGTATCTTCTTGCGGCCTCACAGAGCACCATCTGTCATGTAGACAGCAATACAAATCCGAGCGCGTACGTGGACATGCCGGCATGTAATAAAACAATACATCAGGCACCTCGTGAATAACCTTGGACACAAATGTGTGTGTGCGTGTGCGTGTGCGCACAGGGCTGGGGTGTCGGGCGAGGTGGGGAGGAGGGCACACCACCTCCCCAGAATTCAGATCGCCCAGTGTTGCCACGTAAAGTTTCCAGGCAAAGTCCCCCCCCTCGGGTCACAGGGGAAAAAATAATAATAATAAAAAAATATATATATATAAAATCGAAGACGTTAGAAGCAGAAATAATAAGGAGCATAATGGAGGGGCACCGATCGGGCGAGGGAGAGCGCTCCCCGGGGGAAGCCCCGGGGTGGTGGAGGGGCAGAGGAGCTGCCCCAAAAGGAGCCACCGCTGGTCAGGGCCGTCGGAAGGGCTTCCTCCCCTCTGTTTTGGTAAGGAGCCTTGCACTAAGCAGGCCCACGAGGCACGGGTAGGAAATAAAAGCGGCCAGCGCGCAGGTCAGCTCTCAGCGGTATCAGCGAGGGAGAATAAAATAAAATAAAAAATAAAATCACCTTTCGATTGAGATCCAAGTGAGCGGGTAGAGGAGAAAGCACGCTACCAGAAGGAGGATTTGTAGGGCGGTTGTAGGAAAACGGGCAATTACAGAGGTGGTTCGTGGAGAAAGTTGCTTAAAGGTTTCTCCACGGTGTGTGTTGAATTTTCCTGCTTGGTTTTATCCAGACGTTCCGTTTTGGCGATCCGAACCAGAAAGAGACTTTGTTTTTATTTCCTCTCCCCTTCTCATCCCCCCTACTAAAGCCATGCCCGTGCTACCTGGAAAAGGGATATATTGTTAGGGCTGCTTACCTCGGTGGAGTCGTTTGCACAGCCGCTGTCTCCGGGTCCCCTCGCCCCCTCGGCGATTCCTTTACAGTTCAAATGACCCTCCGGGAGCGGAGCATGGAAAAATTAAAAAATCAAAATCAAATCAAATGAATTACGAGCGGAAAAGTGTCCTGCTCGGATGGGGAAGGGCAGCTCTCATCCCTCGCCGCGGCCTCCAGCGCTCCAGAGATGGGAGATGTTATCGCCGTGCTTGTTTTGCGGAGTATAAATAACAACTTAAGTTACTTACGATGCATCGGGGAGGAAAAAGCTTTTCCCCATCAAAGTCCTCCTCCGCCCGTTAATTCGGGGCAGCGGGCTACGATACGCCGGCAAAAGCTGCGAGTCGCGTTTTGGGGGGGGAAAAAAAAATTAAAAAAAATTAAATTGCGCTGGAAAGTGCCGTCTCCCCGGCTCTTCGTCCTGGCGATCAATAACAAAAGGGATGCGGAGATAGCACCAGCCGGGGCTGCTCCCTCTCCCCCGCCCCCCGGCCTCTCCTCCCGGAGCCCGGTGCCGGCTTTGTTCCGCCGGTGCCCGGCCCGGTGCCCGCCGCGGGTCGGGGTGACAATGCTTTGCACCCTCCTTCTTCTCCCCTCTGCTTTTTGTTTTGGTGGTTTTAGGGTTTTAGGGTTTTTTCCCCCCCTTTTTTTTTTTTTTTTTTTTTTTTTTTTTTTTTTTTGGTGTAACGTGGGGTTTTGTTAATTCGCTGGTCCGGCGGAGAGCGGCGGGAGGCGGGGGGGAGAGCCGGTCGGAAAATAAATGTTTGGCTTAGTTTTTCTGCTGGTCCTTCAAGAGCTGGCGACGGGGGAAAAATGGATAAGCGAACCCCCCATCCGTCCCCGAGCTTCCCAACTCCTCCTGCATCGCTCGGGTGAGAAGAAAGAAAGAACTGCGAGCGTGGAAAAGAAAACAAATACACAAAAATCTCGGCGCGGGGTTGGAAAAGGCTGCGAGAGAGGACGTCGGTGAGGAAAAAGGTGCGCTCACACGCACAAAAAGAAAGTGCAGTTCCTCCTCCCACCCCTCCCGGAGTGGCAAAGGAGCCGAGGAGGGGTGCGGAGGGTGGCAGGGGCGAGACGGGCAGGCAGACAGAGCGGGAGATGCGTGCGGATCCGCTCCTGGTACCGAAGGGTTTAGCCTAGAGATGGTTGGGAGAGATAAAGGCTGAGAGAAAAGGGGACGGCATTTTTTCCCTCTTAAATTGATATTTAATGGGAAATCCTATTGGACAGAAACCTGGACACGAGTCGCTTAATTGGACTTGACATCTGTCACAGTGTGGGAGTTTTCACAGCCCAAATATTTTCAGCAGATCAGATTCTCGCTGAATCTGTGCCACAAATTATAACAGTCGAGAGCAGCCCGTGATATAAACCCTAGCCTCTGGATATACGGTCTCTAGCCACGCTCGCTCCCACCTTCCCCGTCCCCCCCCAGAATATCGGATACCCACTGATCTAGAAAAACACCGCTGGCATTTCTCATGCAAGCTAATAAATAAGCTTTAAGCATCAATTTGCATCACGGACACCGAGCCTGTGGAGAATCGCCGGGCTGATTTTCTACTGAATTTATTTTTGCTGTCCCTACGTCCAGTCCGTGCTCCCCTTCCCCCCTAACCATGGTGCATGGCAAGCACAGACAGACAGTCTGTCTGTCTGTCTCCCCCCTCCTTTCCAGCACACAGACAATGAAGCAAGGGAGACAGCCATGGGTCTGTGGCTTTCCTGCTCACAGGAGGGTGGATGGAGCTCGGTATCTTCCTGCTGGAGCCAGGAGGTGCCTGTGACCAAGGTGACTTCTTGACACCACCTTCTCTGCTCTGCACCCCTTTTCCCCATTTTTTTCCATTAAATGGGGGCTGGTACACCTTCCTCCCTGGGGAATTTCCTGGAGCCTGTGCTGATGCGATCCCTCACAAAGGGGCAATGGGAAGGGTGGGCATGGTGGTGGTCTCCGGCAGCTTGTTGGGAGCTTGGACTCCCCAGGGTTGCTCCTCTCCCTGGGTCCCATCAGTAGGATGTGTGTGTGGGGGGGGGAGAGGTGGTAGGAGAACAATTGCAGGGGTCCCTGTGGCTTGTCCAGTAACACATGCAAAAGGCTGAGAGATCTCTGAAAGGGGAGAGGTTCTGCTCTTGTTGCGGTTCACAGGACCTCAAAGAAAATAAGTAGAATTCCTGAATAATTTTGGGTTTTGTTGATTTTCATTTTTTCTTTAAAGTAATAGATATTCATGCAAAGAATACAACCTCTCTGCATGTCACCTAGACCAGGGCCATTTGACCAGCAGAAGTAACATCTGCAAGAAAATGCTAATCAACATTTTTTCTACAGAAACTTGACAATTTCTCTTTGTTCACCTGTCCACACCAGGTCTCCAAGGCAGCAGGACACGGTCACTTCTTCAGGTGTTCTGAATCCATCTACTGCCACTGGATCCATGGGTATCCAGCATGGTTCCTGGCCCTACAGCAGCTTGGCTGCCATGGGACCCATCAAAGGCTCACTGCAGAAGTCAGAGTGTAGAAACACAGTGCAGCCTCTGGCTGGGAGGGTCTGAAGCACGTGTGCCCTGAGCCCACCTCTATGCCAGTCCTGGAGACCTGGACCTATGGAGACCTGGATCTGAACAGTTCAAGGTCACTGTCCCCTCACATTGCAAGAATTAAGGTCTCATTCCACTGAATTGCCATCATCCCGTGCTTCTTTGCCTTGAGGAACTGCTCAAGGTGTAAGTCTGAAGCCTCAGCCCATGGGAGCTGCAGGTGATGGAACAAGTGTTTGGCTAAGGCTGCCACAGATAGCAGCCAGGAAGCTGTTAATTCATGCAAGCCACCCTGCTCCCTGCTGCAGATGCTGTCATCACATGGCTTGCTTTTTATTTTTAATTTCCAGGAAGAGACCGAGCAGTTGTTTCTCAATGCCCTTTGGTTACGAGCAGACATTTCTGACACCTCTTAAAGCGCTGTTTTCTACTGCTGTGATCCAATTACCCCACTGCTCTGCTCCCAGCCGTGTTAAACCCAGAGGTTTCCACCCTGCCCTGGGCATGCGAGGCCCACGGCATCTCCCCAGCTGCCCTGCTGGGATACCGCAAATCTCACATCAACTGCAGGAGCCAGGGTGCAGCTTCTGTATCCCTAAGAAGACAGTCAGAGATTCTGGAGCTGACAGCCTGACCCTTTTCTGAACAGAGACTTGGAGCCCAGAAGCAGGGCCAAATTCTCACAGTGGAGGTCACCAGAAATGACCCAAAATTCTGGGGCAAAAGTGCAGTTGATGGAAACTAAAACCATTCCATTTTGTCAAAGGATGGACAACAAAAGCTCTTTGTTCAGCTCACTGTATCTTTTTGATTAGAATATGGCCTTGTGCAAGTGAACACTATGGGAATCAGCATGGTCCCAAAGCAGGCTGCATAGGCCACCTGATGACTTGTATCCTCAAATACAGTTATGGCCCACACAACCTGTGGTTTTTCACTAAGCAAGAACCTCCCTGGCATTAAGACTAACTGAAATGCCCAAATGGTGTCAAAGGTTACCTCAATGGCATGAATAACATTGGTTTGGCTTCCCCATAAAAGGTGAAACCAAAGCCTCTGAGCAGCACCTGATGAAGGGAAAGTGGATAGGAAAAAAAAAAAAAAAAAAAAAAAAAAAAAAAAAAAAAAAAAACAAGGCATAATGGGGTGTCAAGTTTGTATCATGGATGTCCAGGGGCATTGCTTGGCTGTGGCTGTACTGCAAGCCAAATCCATGCTAGTGAATCCTGAGGCTCAAGTGGGCAGACATCTCCTGGAGAAGAACCCAGGGTTATTTTTTGCCATGCTGGGGAGTTGTAAGGGAGCTATCAGCAACTCTTCTTCTTTACCTGACTTGAGACATTGCCCCCCAGAGCTGGGGGTATAGAAGAAGTGGAGCTGAATTCCTGTGGATGGAATTGCAGCTCACACAACATATATTTTCTTCGGAGCAAACTCATACGTTTAATGACAATAAAATGTGGCTGAGAAAGACTCGCTCTGAACAGAAACACATTCCACCTTTGTCTCTACAAATCTCACTGCAAAGCTCTGTTTTGACTTCCAGGGCTCTCTGGCAAGCTAGTAAAACCTTGTGACCCAGACTGCTCACTAGATGGGACCTAACATGGAACTAATTTTAGTTAATTAATTAAAGATAGTGAAAACAAGCTACCAACTGCTGTCAGACTTACAGCCCATCAGTAAAGCATCACAGGTCACCAAACAATATTGACTGATAGATGGTGTTCAATCTTCATGAGAGACTCCTAACGCATGGTGCCCGTGGGACCAGGCTTAGAAAGGCAAGATTAACAACAGAGGCATCTGCAGGGTGGAGTCAGAAGGGGAAGACTGAAAACAGCACTGCCACGTGGTGGTGTTTTTTGGAAAGGGGCTACGTGCTTGCATGAACATCTCAGATTCACGTCACACGATCGTTTGTAGGTAATGTCATTGGTGAGAACAGGCTTGAGTTGGCCCTAATAGTTCACACAAGTGCAGCCCTAATAGCCCAGAGTCGACATTTGTCCTGCAGAAAATGTCATTCTGGCCTGGCAAAGCACAAGAGTGAAGGAACCCAGCTGGGCCCTCCAGAGCTGGATCAGGTATTTGGGCAATCATTTTTCACTTGCAGTCAGAGCAGGGCCGACACGGGGAGACATCAAACACAGGGACCCTCAATGCCACTTTTATGGCGTTGCTTGTCAGAGCAGAGCTATACTTCCATTACCGACACGTCCTCTATCTGTCTAAAGGACAGCTTTCCAGAATGCTAGAGAACATCCATTCTCTTTTATAGCATACGCCATTCAAGTTGCTGGCATATGCTGCCCATTGAAATAAATGGAGCTTGTCACTCTTGGATGTGTTCCTTGGAAATAAACGGTCAAACAAATTAGAACGCTGAGCCATGAAAATCCGTGTCCTTTTGAAAAATCTGTGCTGGGTATAGATCAGCGGCTCTGTTTGTGGTTCCCTTGGACATTTGGGTGATATTTTTTGTTTTCCACCAGCCGTGTTTGCTTTATCTAGGCAGTGGGATTGAAGCTGCTTTAATAACTGGTCATGAGCCTCGAGGATGCTGGAGGGAACAACCTGGAAATGGGGAATATGAAAAAAGAAAGGAGCTTCCCTTCTGGACCACAGGCAGAGGTATCAGAGCTACCATGTCTGGATGTGAAGCAACACTGGTGAGGTCTGCCTAGCATCTGATGGACAGGACAGGTCCTCTCAGATGGCCCCTTGCAAGTGTGAGGGTGACTGTCCCTGGGACCGGCTGCTCTGTTTAAACCTGTAATCTCTATGCCAACTAATGACTGAAATCGGGGGGTTTGGACAAAACCCTTGTTCTTTTTACCTAGTTCCAGGTTTTGGCTCATGACCCTTGTTTCTGTGTTGGCTCCAGTCCTTTCCTTTGCCTGTTGGATTAGACCAGCTGCAACATCAAGACCAAGCTCTAGCTGCTACTGAAAAGAGCCAGGCACCATCACCAGGCTGTCTATGACCATTCACTGCCATATAGTTTGACTTTAAAGATCATCCTTGCAATGTTAGTAATCACTCACAGCTCTCTTGAGGGTAGGGTGTCTCAGGAGATGGAGGACGGTGTGGAGTTTTTAAAGGCAGAAGGGATTACTGTGAGCACCTCTCTCCAGGTCAAGGGCCATAAGACTTCCCTCGCTGGTTCCTGCAAAAATGAGCACGTATCCTTCAGAAATAGTGTTCTCTCTTGTTCTAAACATCAGTGGTGGTGAAGGATCCACTATCAACCTTGGTAAATTATTCCATCTGCCTGCTCTTCTTGAAAACACTGATACGGAAAATAAGCATGTGTCACTTCAGCATCTAGCCACAGGGTTTTCTTACATCTTGTGCCCAGAGTTGTCTGTTATCATACTGTCAAGTTTAGGTGAACAGGTGAATTCATGTGTGCTGTAGAGCTGATTTGCCTGTATGCACCAGTTGGTATCTTGGACTTTCCAGTTAAGCAAAGCCTAGCTACAGCTACTGCTGCTGCTGTGGTCAGACATCCAGAAATTTTGGACACATGGGAAAACTCCACCTGGGCAAGCATTTTTGGCAGAAAGAGAAGACATGCCTGGATAAATCCAAACATCTGCTGGTCCT